GTTATGTGTCTGACACCGATGCAAAGATTGTAACAATGACGGAGGATATCATGTCTCTCACAGACGCTGTCAAAACAAATTTGAAAGATCTTGAAGATGAAGTGTCCCTGGTGAAGAGGGCCATGAATTCTCATCCTACTGTGGGCGAGACATCTTCAAAGATTAAAGTCCCTGAACCAAAGGCCTTCGGAGGCATCCGAAGCACTAAGTATCTGGAAAATTTCCTCTAGAACATGAAGCAGTACTTTAATGCAGCCCATGTACCTGATGGAGAGAAAGTAACAATCACCGGTATGTATTTATCTGGTGATGCCAAATTGTGGTGGAAGACCCGGAATGTGGACGATGCCCTGCTGGTCATCCAAATATCGAGACGTGGAAGACCCTGAAAAAGGAATTGAAGGATTAATTCCTCCCTAGCAATACAACTTGGATTGCTAGGGACTCACTCAAAAGTTGAAGCACACCAGAACAGTTGTGATTACGTGAAGGAGTTTAGTTCATTGATGTTGGACATCAAGAACATATCAGAGGAAGACAAACTCTTCAACTTTATGTCCAGACTGCAAGGTTGGGTACAGGCTGAACTGCGAAGGCAGGGGGTACGTGATCTGCCCACTGCCATTTCTACAACAGATGGCCTTGTTGACTTCAAAATGGGCGGCAGCCAAGGCCCTCCTGAGAAAAAGAAAAAGGATGGTGGTGGCAGGAAAGATAAGGCTGGCACTTTCAAAGACGCAAAGAAAGTGGATTGGAAGAAAAAGAATAACGTTGCTGACTTTAACAAGCCAGACAACAGCCAGAAGAAGAAAATTTTTAATTCTGGTTGTTTTCTCTGCAGCAGCCCCATCGTGTCAAAGACTGCCCCAAGAGGGAGAAGTTAAGTGCCCTTGTTGTTGCAAGTGAGAATGACAGTGATGATGACTGTCCTACCCGAGTCAACCATCTCTAATTGCAGAACGCAATTTCTCTGGATAAAGTTCAACCACCCCCGCAAAGGCCTCATGTTTGTTCAGGCCTGGGTGAATGGCAAGGAAGTTCAGGCCATGGTGGATACTGGAGTCACCCACAACTTCGTTGCCCAAAGAAAGGTGGAAAAGTTGGGCTGAAATTGTCAGAAATTCAAGCAAACTCAAAGCAGTAAATTCTGAAATAATGTCAATACGTGGTACAGCAAAAATACGTCTAAAGGTGGGTCTGTTGGAAGGCCAAATGAGTTTGATGGTTGTGCCCTTGAACGATTTTGATGTCATCCTAGAGAATCAATTGTTTGTTACAGCGAAAGTGGCATTGATGCCACATATGAACGAAGTGTTGATCACGGATGAGAAGACACCCTGCTTTATGCCTACAGTCATGGTAGACCAAAGCAAGAAAGATGGAAAGTGGAAGGTGGAAATGTTGTCCGTTATGCAAGTAAATGTTAGGTTGAAGAAGGGCGAGATGACATACCTCGCAGCCTTGGTAGAGATCAAACTAGATGTGCTGGTTGAAGTGCTTGATACTGTGGCAGATGTATTAGTTGAATTTGCTGATGTTATGCCCCCTGAACTCCCCAAGAATCTTTCACCCAAACGTGCAATTGAACACAAGATAGAATTGGAGCCTGGTACAAAGCCTCCAGCCCGTGCCCCTTACCGGATGTCGTCATTGGAACAGGCAGAATTGAGGAAGCAATTGAACGAGTTGCAAGATTCTGGCAGCATGAAGTCATCCAAGGCGTCATACGGAGCCCCTATTTTGTTCCAGAAGAAGCAAGATGGATCGTTGGGCATGTGCATCGATTATTATGCCTTGAACAAGGTGACTATCAAGAACAAGTATCCTATTTCGAATGTTGCTGATCTGTTCGATAGACTGTCCAAGGCCATTTTCTACAAAAAGCTGGATCTTAGAACTGGGTATTGGCAGGTTAGAATTGCAGAAGGGGATGAGCCAAAGACTGCGTGTGTGACGTGTTATGGTTCTTTCGAATTTCTTGTAATGTTGTTTGGGCTCACTAATGCCCCGGCAACTTTCTATAATCTAATGAATGATGTTTTTAACGATTACATTGATGTCTTTCTGGTTGTTTTACTTAGATGACATTGTAATCTATAGTGAAATACTGGAGGATCACATAGATCATTTGAGGGCTGTGTTCCCACGGCTTAGGGAACACCAACTGTATGTCAAAAAGGAAAAATGTGAGTTCTGTCGCCAAGAAGTGATGTTCTTGGGACATTACATTAGTCAGGGCAAAATCCGAATGGATAAGAAGAAGGTGAAGGCAATTGTTGATTAGCCTGCACCAACCAAGGTGTCTGAACTGAGGTCATTTCTTGGCCTAGCCAATTATTATCGCAAGTTCATTGAAGGATATTCAAACAAATGCAATGTCCTGATTGACTTGCTGAAAAAAGACCAAAAATGGGATTGGAATGATGCCTGTCAAACAGCTTTTGAGAAGCTGAACATGCAATATCCTCTGCACCTGTATTGAGATTGGTGGACTTTGATCTGCCTTTCGAAGTGCACACTGATGCCTTTGACCTCGCCATTGGAGGAGTCCTTGTTCAGGAGAGACACTCTATTACCTTTGAAAGCCGAAAACTGAAATATGTTGAACAGCAATATTCAGCACATGAGAAGGAAATGACTGTTATGGTACATTGCCTTGAAATCTGGAGGCACTACTTGTTGAGAACGAAATTCACTGTTGTGACAGATAATGAGGCAAACACTTATTTCAAGACCCAGAAGAAGTTGACCCTGAAGTAGGCCTGATGGCAAGAATTTCTTATTGAGTTCGATTTTGTATGGGTACACAGACCCGGGAGGCAAAATCAAGTTGCTGATACGTTAAGTAGGAAAGAGGTCCAAGAATATGTTGCTGCATTGTCTAGTGTGCAGACTGACTTCCTGGCAAGAGTCAAAAAACGTGTCTAAACTGATATTGCTTACGGAAAATTGAAGCAGCAAGTTGGCGAAGGTCTGGTGCGTAGATACTAGATTGATGATGATCTACTCTATGCTAAAGGGGGCAGACTCTAAGTTCCTACGAGAGGGGAACTACGACTGGAGTTACTGCGTGAGACACACGACTCTTAGTAGGCTGAACATCTAGGAATAGAGAGGATGTTTGCATTGCTAACTCGCTCCTATTACTGACCCAAGATGGAAGACGATGTTGAAGCCTATGTCAGAACTTATCTAGTGTGCCAACTTGACAAGGTTGAGAAGAAGAAGACAACAGGCTTGCTACAGCCCCTGCCCATTCCTGACAGACCGTGGCAGTCAGCCTCGATGGATTTCATTTGTAATCTACCAAAGGTTGATGACATGCATTCGATTATGGTGGTGGTCGATCGTTTCTCTAAGCATGCGGTGTTCATTCCTGCACCTCATGCTTGCCCTGCCGATGTTGCTACAGAACTGTTTTACAAGTACGTGGTGAAGTACTTTGGATTGCCTGAAGATATAGTCAGTCATCGTGACACTAGGTTCACTGGCAGATTCTGGACAGTGCTGTTAAATCTCATTGGTTCTGAGTTGAAGTTCTCTATCGTAAGTCATCCCCAAACTAATGGACAGACTGAGCGAATTAATGCCTTGTTGGAGGACTACCTGCAGCACTATGTCACTGCAAGTCAGAAAAATTGGGTGAAACTTATGGACACTGCCAAATTTTGCTACAATTTGCATAGATCTTCAGCAACAAGAATGAGTCCCTGTGAATTGACTATGGGACATCAGCCACTTACTCCCCATGAAGTGATAAAATAGAGGACTAGAGGAAAATGTCCTGCTGCATATCAGTTTGCTCGTTCCAAGCAAAGAATTGCTTGACGAGGCAAATGACAGCTTGGCCAAAGCTTCCTGACAAATGAAGAAGAATGTTGATCAAGGCCGCAGATCACTAGAATTTCAAGTTGGTAATCTAATTTTGCTGAAATTGATTCCTGCATATGGAAAAGGATCAACAACAAGATAGTACACCGTGGCCTGGTTCCCAAATACGATGGCCCCTTCGAGGTGATGAAGAAGGTCGAGAATGTTGTCTATCGCTTGAAGCTGTCTGATCGATTGAAAATTCACCCAACTTTTCATGCGAGTTTTTTGAAACCTTTTCAGGACGACTTATTGAATGTTGGAAGAAAGCAAGCTAGGAGGGTTCTGCCTATCATCAGGAAACAGTTTGATAGAGAGGTCGACAACATTCTGTCGCACCGGACCATGGATCAGAGTAAGAAAAAATCGCATGACTGATTTTCTAGTGCATTGAAAAGGGGGTTCCAAGGCAGACGCAAGTTGGGAACGAGATGTAACTCTTTGGCAGTTTGAGAAACTGATCAAGGAGTATTAGGACAACCTCTCGACGAGGACATCAAGCTCTTCTAGTGGGGGTGGTTTGTTACCCCCTTAGCCATTGGCAACATTTAGCATCGGGTAGCCTCGCCTATAAGCACCCTTACCTTGTAGCCAAAATGGCAAAAGTCTCATGCATGACTGAGGGAGGCAGTCCATGCACATGGACACGTGGGCACAAGTCAGCATGCAAGCAAGGAAGCGGACAGCTTGAATTGTGGGGCGATGCTAGCTTTAATAATGAGTCATGGGCTCGGTCATGGTTAGGCATGAATGTAATGCAATTCGGATGCTGAGGGCTCTTGACACATGCACAACATGTGAAGAAGTTGGGCATGTGCTCTGCAGATGGTGGCAGTTCTAAATAATTTTCTAGCAAGTGCATTACATGTGGGATCTCTGTCAGACTCAGACAAGCATGCAGACACCAGTTATAACTTCTCTGTCATCCAATCACAGCAGACCTCTGATAGCATTTGAATTACAGACATATGCCTAGGCAGTTGAACTTATAACTGTCACCTTAAATATTATAAATAGGGTGCTTGGGGTCTGTAGTGCAACAAGGGAGTTGGCACGTTTTTGTAAACAGACCTCAAGGTTAAGTTCCTTATACTTTATTGAGAAAGAAAGGTTTGGCTGCTGCCTGTAAATTCTGTGTGCCTTGTCTGTTTGTTTACTTATTGTTCATTCTCTGTTCTATGTGCATTCTGAGTGTTTGGCTGAAACTAAGTGTTGAATCTTAGTGTCATCACAAGGCAGAAATTTGGTAAGAAATTTAACCTCGTGACACAAGGTGAGTGCATCAAATGAAGGGAGTCATTAGTTTGAAACATATTTAGTATTGAACATATACTATTATGAACTCCGGAACCCGCGCCAAAGGTGGTGCCCACCAAACGTCCTACAACGTCGCCTAAGCCACCCCTCATCTCGCCCATTGAGGCGCCGCCTCCAGCGTCGTTGGCGCCCCTACCTTCATCTCCTATAGTGTCACCAGCGCCATGGACACCGCCTTCTCCACCTTGGTCACGACCCAAAACAGAATGGGCGCCGCCCATGCTCTCTCCACTACCAGCTACCATGGAGTTGTGCTAGGAATCACGCCATTGAACGTCGCCTTTCGCCTCTCCGACACCATCGAGTGGTGGGTCGTCTCTCTCAAGGCATGAGATCAAATGGGGAAATGTTAATACCCCTTCTTTGCCAGATTCTTTCAAAGCCATTAGTTCTCTTAATGTATTAATGCTCAGATTGGCCTCCTAAATACTTTAAGAGTGCCCTAAAATAAGGGAATGGGGTTTTGAAGGATGAATCTCTACTGAGCAAAGCAAGAAATATGGGGAAAATGAGCTCCCAAGAACGAAGAAATCAAAAGGTTCGAGAAGCACCGTGGGGAAGAAGAAAACTTTTGGCTTTCTAGCCGAAGAAGCTCATTCATGCCCGTAATCCCTTTTTACCACCACTAGGGCTTGGGGCAAAAGGGGCAAATGACGAACTCAAATCTAACCAGGTCAAGCCCAAAAAATTAAGTAAGCTCAAATCAGCTAAAGGACAAGTCAAGCTTAGTTTGAGAATTCGACCCAACTCAAGTTCGATTGAGTCCAAGAAGAATTAGAACATGTGTGGAACAATTATCGGGATACTCACTCTAGAAAATCAAAGCAACATTTTATGGCAATTACCTTTTGTAACCACTCGAAGAATTAGTACCTTTGAGGGCAAAGTCACCGTCTTAACCAAAATTATGTGCCTATAAATTATAAGTTCTCTCAACATGAAAGGACACATTGAACTCTACATCTACACCTTTCTACAAACACATAATTTTTCTCTCTTAACTATTGTATCCCTCCCGGAATTAATCATTGTTCTCTCTCTCTCTCTCTCTCTCTCTCTCTCTCTCTCTCTCTCTCTCTCTCTTGTTTACCTTACTTCATTATTAAAGATCCCCCAACCATATTTGTCATTTCCCGGAGTGGAGTAAGTCATCCGGACCGAACCATTATATCTTTGTGTGTTTACCCGATATTTACATTATTGTTATTGATTACTCTATTTATTGTCCATTAATTTCACTTTATCACACACTAAACTGTTGATATTGTACGAGATAATTTTGTACATCTTCAAAATTGATTGAAAACTAAAAGATAAAGAAGAGAAAATCAATTAAGAGTTAATTGGGGTGAAAAACTAATTAAGAATTAATTAGGCACTTTATTATAATAAATGAGTTATATGTAATTATGAGATAATTGCAACAAAACCTAAACTAGGATTAAAGTCTTATAAGACTATAAATCTATATAATAAAGTACAACATAAAAAATAACTTTTATTTTTTACATTTGAGATCATTTTAAATTTTACTTTAAAGTTAATCTAGCAATTAAAATTAACTCAACAAATTTAATAGGAAAAATAGACCCCCTAAAGGTGTGTTTGAAATTACTTTTCAAAAGTATTTCTAAAACTTATGACTTCCCATAAGCATTTTAAAAAAAATAAATAGTGTTTGAAACAACTTATTTGAATTACTTCCAAATAAGTTAAAAGTAATTTTACCACTTAAATAAGTTAAAAAAATCTTCTACCTGGCCATAGATACACATTATTTTTTTTTAATTCATTATTATCTTTATTACCAAATAAAATGGACAAACAAAATACAGATAAGTAAAAGGACGAATCCACTCTTAGGAATTATAATACACTATAAATGATTGTTTGATATATCATGAAAATTCTTTAGAGGTAGAATCCAATAATTTTCTGTGGTGGAATAAAATATCTCTCATTTCCCACTCAAATAGATTCTTTTTTTTTTATTTCCAAGAAAATGTCGTTATGTTGCCTAGAAGGGTGCACAAATCCTTTGAATCTGGTACCAACGAGTATCATCCCCGTAGAACAACATTCTCTTTCAGGCCTTTCAATCAATCAATCAATACAACCCTCGATAGCAGCTTTTGCTAAAACTCGAACAATTTCTTGAAAACTCGCTTCAAATAAAACTTTAAGTATTCAGAGATGCTTTTGTTATTCTTAATAAGATGGCTCGGTAACAAATTGTTTCTTTCAAAGCACGTCACATTTGTTCCACTCGCAACAATCCAATTAGTTCTCTGCTACTGCCAACCCAACACTACCACCACCACCACCCCACCGCCGCCATCCACTATCGCCACCACACCACCACCACCCCCACCTCCAACTGTACTGCCGCTATTGTCACCCATTGCTGTCGTGGTCACCCACCATCGATTCATACCCACCGTCACCCATTACCACCACGCACCATCATTATTTTATTCTTATATTTATTACCACTACCATCATCATCCCACTACAACTGTCACCCAACGTCTCCCATCCACCACCACCACCCACCGCCACTACCACCCGTCACCGCCCACCACCATCACCATCCACTGTCACCCACTCCCACCACATCCACCACCACCACCCATTACAGTCCACACCGCCGACACCCACTGTCATCCACCCCCACCACACTTGCCACCACCGTCGCCCACCATCACCGTCATCGTCCCACCACCACCATCACCATTATCACTCGCGGTTACCACCACCACAGTCGTTGTCGCCTACCATAACTATCACCGTCTCCCACTACAACCATCACCACCTCTCACCACCACTATCGCCCACCACTAACCCCACTACAATCGGCACTTAAATTACTTTATCTCTCATCTGTATTTGTAATTTGATTTTGGGCGTATGGTTTAATATTTAAGAAATTGATATATGAGATAATAACTCTCTTTTGCTAGCACAAGAAAATTCACTCATCATTCTCTATCTAATAAATTATCAAACATTGAGGTATATCCGTCAAGTTTATCAACTTGTGTGGATACTGATAGAGGTCAAACAATTGTGAGGCTTTGGGTAAAGATCAAATTTAGATTTAAGAATTCAAAATTTTAAAAATATGGTTCAAAAAATAACCCTTAATCTTCTCTATAGATCTAGGATTTCGGTTTGTATTAACCATGAATAGTTCTTGGAAAGGGGAATCAATATTTATTTTTTTTAAATTCTGCTACGTTTATTATATAATTCCTTTCCAACAAGTCAAACACTAAACCTAAAGCTACAGCTGGGATAAAATGTTGAACTTGTCACCCCTATTGATACTTTTCTAACGAAGTGTGCACAATGGCAAATGGCACTAAAGGAGTGCGAACCGTGATTCACTTAACCATATACCATGTCTGTAACAAATTTAAAGGAATTGATTCCACTGTCATCTTTCTAACTGATAAATAGGATACCGACATCACAAATGCTACATGAGTGAGTGGATAACAGTTTAGTATGCATTCCAGTATTATCTTAGCATACAACTATGTTTACTAGTGATAACAACAGTTTCCCGAAACTAGTTTATAAAGCAGGATATTCATATTTTTTTATCAAGAATCCAGTGATTAAAACCAAAACTTTCCCCTCAGGCTGCACAGAATTTTTGCATTTATAAATTGAAGATAACAAGGAAAGAAAGACATTGAACTATAGGGGTTCAATCCACTATAAGGGTAAAAAAGGAAGCTCAAGCGAGAAAGCTCAAATCCTAAATATCAATTAACTTTCTGTAAATAAACAAAAATCAACAAACAATTGAACAAGTTGAAATCTGCTGAAGAACTTTAAATACATTACCATACCTGCTAGTCCAGAAAGCAGAAATCCCCTGCAATGCCTCTTCTGGAAGACCTTGAGCTCGCCACAATCAGCTGGAAATGGAAGTGCGACCTGAATCATTCCACCGACGACCTCTTCTTATTTTTCTTCTTGACCTTCTTGCTTGCCCCATCCTTAGTCTTTATGACAGGTTCAATCTTTTTCTTCCCTTTCTTCTCACCAGACTCTTTTACACCTTTTAAAGCCAACTCATCTTTCCCTAGCTTCAAACTACCTCCCTTGTCTACCTTGCCTAGTTTCTTTACCCTCATGCCTCCATTCACCTCGCCCATACCCTTCATGGAATCTCCCTTCTTTCTTTTCTTAACCCCAGATTCAGCAATGCACAGATTACCATTTTCACTCTTCTCACCCACATCATCATCATCATCACTGCCAGCCTTCACCTTGCCCAATTTCTTCCCCAGTTTCTGCCCATTCAACTCATTAAGAATCTTTTCCTTACTTGCACCACCCTTCTTTTTCTTTTTTCCCACAAATTCACCACTACCCAATTCAGCATCCACACTTTTCTCACTCTCATTCCCATTCGCGTCCTCATCACCTCCCAATCTATTACCATCCATATAGCAAACCTCATGAATTCTTCCCTTTTTCATCCCCTTATTCTTCCTCAATTCCCCATCTTTCTTCCACTTCTCCTTCACCTCCAACTCACCGCCACCCTCTTCCTTAACCCTCTCCTCACTCTTCTTAAACCCCTCAATCTTCAACTTCATATCTGGCAATGCCTGATACAATGGCAACGCCAAGGAATCCGATAACTTCAGATGCAGCGACCTCACATCACCCCACTTCTTGGGCAGAACCTCAACAACCCCACTTACCGCCGCCGCCACATTATCAACTATTTCTCCGGTCTCCATAGAAACCTTCCCAACCTTCACCACACTACTTGTTCCCGTCTTCAAATGTAACAACCCAGATGATAAAACCCTCTCAGTTTGTTCCTTCCAATTCTTGTGAGTCAAATCCACTGGCAAAGGCAACTTCTTTTTCGTAAAAAACTCCTTCCCCAACAGCTTAGGAAGCAAAGGGACAACCCTTTTGTCCACAAAAAACACGTCGTATGAGTCGCATAACTTCCTTTTTGACTCAAAAGGCTTGTAGTTTGACTTGAGCTTAGAGAGCTTGATGACTTTGGATATGGGTAAGTTCTGGGTTTTGATGATTTTCTTGGCGATGTCTGAGGAGAGTTTGGACTTGGGTCTGTCATCAATAATAAGGCAGATTTCGGGAGAGTGCTGTTGGAGTGGGTGTAAGAGGGGGATTTTGTAAGGGTTTGTGCGCGGCTTTTGTGGGATTTTCTTGAGTGTTAGGTTGAGGTAGATGTAGTCGTCTTGTGGTATGAGTTGGGGCTTTCGGGTCTCGGATTGGGAGGATTTCCATTTGAGAANGGTCGATCGTTTCTCTAAGCATGCGGTGTTCATTCCTGCACCTCATGCTTGCCCTGCCGATGTTGCTACAGAACTGTTTTACAAGTACGTGGTGAAGTACTTTGGATTGCCTGAAGATATAGTCAGTCATCGTGACACTAGGTTCACTGGCAGATTCTGGACAGTGCTGTTAAATCTCATTGGTTCTGAGTTGAAGTTCTCTATCGTAAGTCATCCCCAAACTAATGGACAGACTGAGCGAATTAATGCCTTGTTGGAGGACTACCTGCAGCACTATGTCACTGCAAGTCAGAAAAATTGGGTGAAACTTATGGACACTGCCAAATTTTGCTACAATTTGCATAGATCTTCAGCAACAAGAATGAGTCCCTGTGAATTGACTATGGGACATCAGCCACTTACTCCCCATGAAGTGATAAAATAGAGGACTAGAGGAAAATGTCCTGCTGCATATCAGTTTGCTCGTTCCAAGCAAAGAATTGCTTGACGAGGCAAATGACAGCTTGGCCAAAGCTTCCTGACAAATGAAGAAGAATGTTGATCAAGGCCGCAGATCACTAGAATTTCAAGTTGGTAATCTAATTTTGCTGAAATTGATTCCTGCATATGGAAAAGGATCAACAACAAGATAGTACACCGTGGCCTGGTTCCCAAATACGATGGCCCCTTCGAGGTGATGAAGAAGGTCGAGAATGTTGTCTATCGCTTGAAGCTGTCTGATCGATTGAAAATTCACCCAACTTTTCATGCGAGTTTTTTGAAACCTTTTCAGGACGACTTATTGAATGTTGGAAGAAAGCAAGCTAGGAGGGTTCTGCCTATCATCAGGAAACAGTTTGATAGAGAGGTCGACAACATTCTGTCGCACCGGACCATGGATCAGAGTAAGAAAAAATCGCATGACTGATTTTCTAGTGCATTGAAAAGGGGGTTCCAAGGCAGACGCAAGTTGGGAACGAGATGTAACTCTTTGGCAGTTTGAGAAACTGATCAAGGAGTATTAGGACAACCTCTCGACGAGGACATCAAGCTCTTCTAGTGGGGGTGGTTTGTTACCCCCTTAGCCATTGGCAACATTTAGCATCGGGTAGCCTCGCCTATAAGCACCCTTACCTTGTAGCCAAAATGGCAAAAGTCTCATGCATGACTGAGGGAGGCAGTCCATGCACATGGACACGTGGGCACAAGTCAGCATGCAAGCAAGGAAGCGGACAGCTTGAATTGTGGGGCGATGCTAGCTTTAATAATGAGTCATGGGCTCGGTCATGGTTAGGCATGAATGTAATGCAATTCGGATGCTGAGGGCTCTTGACACATGCACAACATGTGAAGAAGTTGGGCATGTGCTCTGCAGATGGTGGCAGTTCTAAATAATTTTCTAGCAAGTGCATTACATGTGGGATCTCTGTCAGACTCAGACAAGCATGCAGACACCAGTTATAACTTCTCTGTCATCCAATCACAGCAGACCTCTGATAGCATTTGAATTACAGACATATGCCTAGGCAGTTGAACTTATAACTGTCACCTTAAATATTATAAATAGGGTGCTTGGGGTCTGTAGTGCAACAAGGGAGTTGGCACGTTTTTGTAAACAGACCTCAAGGTTAAGTTCCTTATACTTTATTGAGAAAGAAAGGTTTGGCTGCTGCCTGTAAATTCTGTGTGCCTTGTCTGTTTGTTTACTTATTGTTCATTCTCTGTTCTATGTGCATTCTGAGTGTTTGGCTGAAACTAAGTGTTGAATCTTAGTGTCATCACAAGGCAGAAATTTGGTAAGAAATTTAACCTCGTGACACAAGGTGAGTGCATCAAATGAAGGGAGTCATTAGTTTGAAACATATTTAGTATTGAACATATACTATTATGAACTCCGGAACCCGCGCCAAAGGTGGTGCCCACCAAACGTCCTACAACGTCGCCTAAGCCACCCCTCATCTCGCCCATTGAGGCGCCGCCTCCAGCGTCGTTGGCGCCCCTACCTTCATCTCCTATAGTGTCACCAGCGCCATGGACACCGCCTTCTCCACCTTGGTCACGACCCAAAACAGAATGGGCGCCGCCCATGCTCTCTCCACTACCAGCTACCATGGAGTTGTGCTAGGAATCACGCCATTGAACGTCGCCTTTCGCCTCTCCGACACCATCGAGTGGTGGGTCGTCTCTCTCAAGGCATGAGATCAAATGGGGAAATGTTAATACCCCTTCTTTGCCAGATTCTTTCAAAGCCATTAGTTCTCTTAATGTATTAATGCTCAGATTGGCCTCCTAAATACTTTAAGAGTGCCCTAAAATAAGGGAATGGGGTTTTGAAGGATGAATCTCTACTGAGCAAAGCAAGAAATATGGGGAAAATGAGCTCCCAAGAACGAAGAAATCAAAAGGTTCGAGAAGCACCGTGGGGAAGAAGAAAACTTTTGGCTTTCTAGCCGAAGAAGCTCATTCATGCCCGTAATCCCTTTTTACCACCACTAGGGCTTGGGGCAAAAGGGGCAAATGACGAACTCAAATCTAACCAGGTCAAGCCCAAAAAATTAAGTAAGCTCAAATCAGCTAAAGGACAAGTCAAGCTTAGTTTGAGAATTCGACCCAACTCAAGTTCGATTGAGTCCAAGAAGAATTAGAACATGTGTGGAACAATTATCGGGATACTCACTCTAGAAAATCAAAGCAACATTTTATGGCAATTACCTTTTGTAACCACTCGAAGAATTAGTACCTTTGAGGGCAAAGTCACCGTCTTAACCAAAATTATGTGCCTATAAATTATAAGTTCTCTCAACATGAAAGGACACATTGAACTCTACATCTACACCTTTCTACAAACACATAATTTTTCTCTCTTAACTATTGTATCCCTCCCGGAATTAATCATTGTTCTCTCTCTCTCTCTCTCTCTCTCTCTCTCTCTCTCTCTCTCTCTCTCTCTTGTTTACCTTACTTCATTATTAAAGATCCCCCAACCATATTTGTCATTTCCCGGAGTGGAGTAAGTCATCCGGACCGAACCATTATATCTTTGTGTGTTTACCCGATATTTACATTATTGTTATTGATTACTCTATTTATTGTCCATTAATTTCACTTTATCACACACTAAACTGTTGATATTGTACGAGATAATTTTGTACATCTTCAAAATTGATTGAAAACTAAAAGATAAAGAAGAGAAAATCAATTAAGAGTTAATTGGGGTGAAAAACTAATTAAGAATTAATTAGGCACTTTATTATAATAAATGAGTTATATGTAATTATGAGATAATTGCAACAAAACCTAAACTAGGATTAAAGTCTTATAAGACTATAAATCTATATAATAAAGTACAACATAAAAAATAACTTTTATTTTTTACATTTGAGATCATTTTAAATTTTACTTTAAAGTTAATCTAGCAATTAAAATTAACTCAACAAATTTAATAGGAAAAATAGACCCCCTAAAGGTGTGTTTGAAATTACTTTTCAAAAGTATTTCTAAAACTTATGACTTCCCATAAGCATTTTAAAAAAAATAAATAGTGTTTGAAACAACTTATTTGAATTACTTCCAAATAAGTTAAAAGTAATTTTACCACTTAAATAAGTTAAAAAAATCTTCTACCTGGCCATAGATACACATTATTTTTTTTTAATTCATTATTATCTTTATTACCAAATAAAATGGACAAACAAAATACAGATAAGTAAAAGGACGAATCCACTCTTAGGAATTATAATACACTATAAATGATTGTTTGATATATCATGAAAATTCTTTAGAGGTAGAATCCAATAATTTTCTGTGGTGGAATAAAATATCTCTCATTTCCCACTCAAATAGATTCTTTTTTTTTTATTTCCAAGAAAATGTCGTTATGTTGCCTAGAAGGGTGCACAAATCCTTTGAATCTGGTACCAACGAGTATCATCCCCGTAGAACAACATTCTCTTTCAGGCCTTTCAATCAATCAATCAATACAACCCTCGATAGCAGCTTTTGCTAAAACTCGAACAATTTCTTGAAAACTCGCTTCAAATAAAACTTTAAGTATTCAGAGATGCTTTTGTTATTCTTAATAAGATGGCTCGGTAACAAATTGTTTCTTTCAAAGCACGTCACATTTGTTCCACTCGCAACAATCCAATTAGTTCTCTGCTACTGCCAACCCAACACTACCACCACCACCACCCCACCGCCGCCATCCACTATCGCCACCACACCACCACCACCCCCACCTCCAACTGTACTGCCGCTATTGTCACCCATTGCTGTCGTGGTCACCCACCATCGATTCATACCCACCGTCACCCATTACCACCACGCACCATCATTATTTTATTCTTATATTTATTACCACTACCATCATCATCCCACTACAACTGTCACCCAACGTCTCCCATCCACCACCACCACCCACCGCCACTACCACCCGTCACCGCCCACCACCATCACCATCCACTGTCACCCACTCCCACCACATCCACCACCACCACCCATTACAGTCCACACCGCCGACACCCACTGTCATCCACCCCCACCACACTTGCCACCACCGTCGCCCACCATCACCGTCATCGTCCCACCACCACCATCACCATTATCACTCGCGGTTACCACCACCACAGTCGTTGTCGCCTACCATAACTATCACCGTCTCCCACTACAACCATCACCACCTCTCACCACCACTATCGCCCACCACTAACCCCACTACAATCGGCACTTAAATTACTTTATCTCTCATCTGTATTTGTAATTTGATTTTGGGCGTATGGTTTAATATTTAAGAAATTGATATATGAGATAATAACTCTCTTTTGCTAGCACAAGAAAATTCACTCATCATTCTCTATCTAATAAATTATCAAACATTGAGGTATATCCGTCAAGTTTATCAACTTGTGTGGATACTGATAGAGGTCAAACAATTGTGAGGCTTTGGGTAAAGATCAAATTTAGATTTAAGAATTCAAAATTTTAAAAATATGGTTCAAAAAATAACCCTTAATCTTCTCTATAGATCTAGGATTTCGGTTTGTATTAACCATGAATAGTTCTTGGAAAGGGGAATCAATATTTATTTTTTTTAAATTCTGCTACGTTTATTATATAATTCCTTTCCAACAAGTCAAACACTAAACCTAAAGCTACAGCTGGGATAAAATGTTGAACTTGTCACCCCTATTGATACTTTTCTAACGAAGTGTGCACAATGGCAAATGGCACTAAAGGAGTGCGAACCGTGATTCACTTAACCATATACCATGTCTGTAACAAATTTAAAGGAATTGATTCCACTGTCATCTTTCTAACTGATAAATAGGATACCGACATCACAAATGCTACATGAGTGAGTGGATAACAGTTTAGTATGCATTCCAGTATTATCTTAGCATACAACTATGTTTACTAGTGATAACAACAGTTTCCCGAAACTAGTTTATAAAGCAGGATATTCATATTTTTTTATCAAGAATCCAGTGATTAAAACCAAAACTTTCCCCTCAGGCTGCACAGAATTTTTGCATTTATAAATTGAAGATAACAAGGAAAGAAAGACATTGAACTATAGGGGTTCAATCCACTATAAGGGTAAAAAAGGAAGCTCAAGCGAGAAAGCTCAAATCCTAAATATCAATTAACTTTCTGTAAATAAACAAAAATCAACAAACAATTGAACAAGTTGAAATCTGCTGAAGAACTTTAAATACATTACCATACCTGCTAGTCCAGAAAGCAGAAATCCCCTGCAATGCCTCTTCTGGAAGACCTTGAGCTCGCCACAATCAGCTGGAAATGGAAGTGCGACCTGAATCATTCCACCGACGACCTCTTCTTATTTTTCTTCTTGACCTTCTTGCTTGCCCCATCCTTAGTCTTTATGACAGGTTCAATCTTTTTCTTCCCTTTCTTCTCACCAGACTCTTTTACACCTTTTAAAGCCAACTCATCTTTCCCTAGCTTCAAACTACCTCCCTTGTCTACCTTGCCTAGTTTCTTTACCCTCATGCCTCCATTCACCTCGCCCATACCCTTCATGGAATCTCCCTTCTTTCTTTTCTTAACCCCAGATTCAGCAATGCACAGATTACCATTTTCACTCTTCTCACCCACATCATCATCATCATCACTGCCAGCCTTCACCTTGCCCAATTTCTTCCCCAGTTTCTGCCCATTCAACTCATTAAGAATCTTTTCCTTACTTGCACCACCCTTCTTTTTCTTTTTTCCCACAAATTCACCACTACCCAATTCAGCATCCACACTTTTCTCACTCTCATTCCCATTCGCGTCCTCATCACCTCCCAATCTATTACCATCCATATAGCAAACCTCATGAATTCTTCCCTTTTTCATCCCCTTATTCTTCCTCAATTCCCCATCTTTCTTCCACTTCTCCTTCACCTCCAACTCACCGCCACCCTCTTCCTTAACCCTCTCCTCACTCTTCTTAAACCCCTCAATCTTCAACTTCATATCTGGCAATGCCTGATACAATGGCAACGCCAAGGAATCCGATAACTTCAGATGCAGCGACCTCACATCACCCCACTTCTTGGGCAGAACCTCAACAACCCCACTTACCGCCGCCGCCACATTATCAACTATTTCTCCGGTCTCCATAGAAACCTTCCCAACCTTCACCACACTACTTGTTCCCGTCTTCAAATGTAACAACCCAGATGATAAAACCCTCTCAGTTTGTTCCTTCCAATTCTTGTGAGTCAAATCCACTGGCAAAGGCAACTTCTTTTTCGTAAAAAACTCCTTCCCCAACAGCTTAGGAAGCAAAGGGACAACCCTTTTGTCCACAAAAAACACATCGTATGAGTCGCATAACTTCCTTTTTGACTCAAAAGGCTTGTAGTTTGACTTGAGCTTAGAGAGCTTGATGACTTTGGATATGGGTAAGTTCTGGGTTTTGATGATTTTCTTGGCGATGTCTGAGGAGAGTTTGGACTTGGGTCTGTCATCAATAATAAGGCAGATTTCGGGAGAGTGCTGTTGGAGTGGGTGTAAGAGGGGGATTTTGTAAGGGTTTGTGCGCGGCTTTTGTGGGATTTTCTTGAGTGTTAGGTTGAGGT